TCCCACCGAGTCCTTCCATAGTAGATGGGGCCAGAAAGCTTTTTGTTTTGTTTTGTTGGTCGTGGGGCCTGAACTCGGCCTGGGCGCTGTCCCTCAGCTCTTCAGCTCAAGGCTAGCGCTCTACTGCTTGAGCCACAGCGCCACTTCCAGCTTTTTGAGAAACTGAACCCAGGGCCTCATGCATGCCAGGCAAGCGCTCTACCATGGAGCACCCTCCCAGCCCAGCATGCTGTCCTCGTAAGGCACTAATCTCACCCACAAATCAGAGCCTACCAAAGGCCAACTACTCATACCATCCCCTGTGGTCAGAGATTGTGGGGGGATTCAAATACTCAGACCACAGTAGGTACTCGCTGTATAATTCTTGCAGGGCTTCTCCATTTTTCTTAGTAAATACTTGGGAAGTAAAAAACACGTAAAATGAAGTTCCTAAAATAAAGAAGAAGAAAAACTCAGCCTTCTCTGCTACCTCCTAGTGTGTGTGGCCCAGCGCCCATTCCTGTGTGAGGCAAACAGGTTTGTCCTGGTGTCTTTAGAGACCAAAGTGATCCATACCACACCCTTAGAACAGAGCTACTAAAGGTACTAGTCCAGATCTGACTTTAATTATGGTTTGTTGACCACCTATTACAGACTCATAGACTCTAGTTAGGAACAAGGAGATGGAACTGTTGATAAGACCCATATATGACCCAGGAAGATGGCTTGAGCCCTATAAGTCCCACTTGAGTGTGGAGTTTGCTGTGAATATAGTCAAGTGTGGCAAATAGTGAGTTTACAAAAGAATCTAATTAGCCTCTACTGTCAAGATTCGCTTAAATAACAGATCATAGTCTAAGGTCAGCTGGGGCGGAAAAGCTCACGAGACCCCCTTGTAAACTAAGAGCTGGCACCTCTTATCCTAGCTACTTGGGAAGCCTAACATAGGTATACTGTGTACAGGTTAGGAAGTGAGACCCTATCAAAATTAACCAGCAAAGAGTGTTAGAGGCATGGCTCACTGGTAAGACTGCCTGTCTAGCAACTCTGAGTCCAAACCCCAGTATCACCCTCTCCCCCATCCCTCCAAACAAAAGCAAACACCTTAACAGTAGGCTGAAGAGGATAGTACTTTCTAGGAAGCATTGCTCCTACCAATGGGAGCTCTGCGCCTGGGTGCTGTTCCTGAGCTCTACTACTTGAGCCACAGCACCACTTCCAGCTTTTCTGAGTGGTTTATTAGACATAAGAGTTTCACGGACTTTCCTGCCTGGGCTGGCTTTGAACCGCAGTCTTCAGATCTCATCCTCCTGAGTAGCTCGGATGACAGGCGTGAGCCACCAGCACCTGGCTAAGGCTTCACATTTGTATTTATTCTTTTTTTTTTTTTTTTGAGGCAAGGTCTCAAACTGAGGCTGTTCTCAAACTTGTGGGCTCAAGCCATCTTCCTGCCTCAGCCTCTTAAGTAGCTGGGACTATAGGTATCTATCACGTTACCCGATTAAATTTGATGATAACTTGTCGAACTGAAGAACAGCCCCAATTTGTGAAGCATAATGTGTAACCATTTTCCAACCTAAACAGCATAGGGTATTACAGGGTAATAATAATGGACAGACAACAAGCTCCTAAACATCAACATATTGCAACTTAGTGAAAAATTACAACTTCAACCTTAAATCCAACTCTGAATATCAGGCAAATAAGGCAGCAAGTAACAAATTCTGCCAAACTGAAGAACAAAAACACAGACACAAAGGAAGCTTGCTTTATAACCCAAATTGGACAACCCAAACGAACAATTCCAGGCAATGGTAAAGGGTCCCAAGAGCCTCATGACCCTGCAGTGGAACCTGCGGAGGGTGGGAGGTTGATACCATAACCCCAGCATACCAGATGACCTTGAATGGGCCTCCACATAAACGCTGGGCCTGGGCACAAGCCAGGCCCCTGACTGGAGCCCAGTGCGCCCACCAGACAAATGCCCCAAACTTTCCAGGATCTCACATTTTATACACCACTTTGGAGACACAAGTAACCAAGTGCACAAAGTCCAAAATAATATGAAAAAGACTTTCTCCATACACTTAAAAAGACTAAAAAAATTCTCCCAAAGATCAGTCTCTACTTTCTAGACCAAGTCTCTGGCAGGAGTAACAGTGAGACTCTTAGAACCATGCAATCCCTTTACTCAGGGGTTCAACACCACACCACTCCCGCCCCACTTCATCCAAAGAAGTCAAAAAGTTTGCCAAAGTATTCCTAGGAATCTTGCGTATAGGGTCCGTGAATCACAATGATCTCAACGGTTACAGTAATATATAGTAATATTAATCAATCAGAAAAGCCTCATTTCAGCATACTACTCTACATACAATTCTTAAGGGGATTTTCTTGGAGTCAGGCTGCATAGTAGTCGGCAGGCTCTCACCCACCTCCTGGTATGGCCATCCCATTGGATCCTCCCCTAGAGTCTGCACAGGGTCTACTGTCTCTATTCTAACAAGCAGAATTAGGCAAAGTGGCTTCCAAAGTTAGGTTTGTAAGCCTGGCTCCCTTCTGTCTTGTTGTCACAGCCCCTCAACTCAGCTTCTCTCTAAGCTCTAGGAAAGAAGCTGGGTTAACAGAAGACACTGCAAGTAAGGGTCTGGAAGGGGTGCTCTCGAGTGGCTGGCAGGGGAGGGCCGGGCCAGCCATGTCTATGGGGTGTGACCAAGGACCTACCAGCCTAAGCTTGGTTTTGACCCACAAAAACTGAAGGATAATAACTGACTGTTGGCTGAGTTTGGAGATAAATGTTGCATGGCGATATATAAATAATACAACCACTCAGCACTGTCACATGTTTAAAAACCCCAAAATAGGAAAATGAAGACTTATTCAAACATGAATACATACATATACTGTGTCACAAGTCTTTCCCTAAATTTTGTACATTAAGCTTTAAAAACAGTAGAAGGTACAGCAAAAGAACAAATCAGAAGTGCAGTAAACACAAAGGTTGCAAGTGTGGTTGCGTTTGGCAAATACAACTTTCCACGCTGGACTGCTGGTATTGACATTCAGTGCTATGTAATCTTGGGGCAGTCTTCTCCCAAGGAACTGAGAGGTAAGGCTACAGCTTAAACTGATACATGGAACCCGACAGTTCAAGTGTCTGTCTGGAAACCAGTCATCTCAGAATACTGCCAGTTTCTGTAAGGTGTGCAGTCTGACTCAAACAGAGCTTCCACAGGTGTACCTACTCCTCACTAACTCTCCAGTGAACAGGACTCTGTGCACCCCAGGCTTGTGCTAGGGGACAGGGTTGGCAAGACCCATCCTCCTTTTGTTTTCTGATCCTGGAACACATCTGACAAGTTGTCACTGGGCACAGTTGGTGCCTGCCCTAGTCAAGAACAGCACACATCACTGCCTCCTTCCTACCTTATGCAGCAGTAAAACTGCATCCCACTCTTACACTTCCAAAGTAAAGAAAAACATCTCACTCTAGATGTAAGACCAACATGGAGGCTTCAGAGAAACAAAAATCTCTCTGCAAGACCCTCTGTCACCCCTGCCCTTTTCCCAGATAGGAGTGGGGGCCGGCAGACCCTCACTCACAGATCCCTACTCTCTGCCCAGCTCCAGCCCACCCTCTTGCCTGCTCCTGGGCCCCTGAACACTGGAGACACCTCTAGATTCAGAAAGAACCCACACCACCTTGTGGGGAGAGGATGGGAGGTGGTGCCAACCACTGACCAGGGCTGGAAGGAGGAAAAAGCAGCAGTTCTGCAGGGGGATAGATGTGTTTTCTGGACCTAGAGCACAGAACATTCCTGGACAGAGAGCACCCTTGAGTCTCCAGCCAGAATGCATCCCAGTCTCGTCTTTTACCTGCCCATGTGAAGTCTGCTGAAGGTCTGGGGGCCAGCCAGGAGCTCATGACACCATGGTGCTTGGGAGCCTTGGGGGGAAAGTAGCTTTGAAGCTGTAAGCTCAGGTGACTAGGATTCCACAAGCCAGAGCCTTTACAGCAGGGTCTCGGCGGGTTTGAAGGGGGAGGCCACAACCTGGCCACCTGAGTTCTCAGCACCCTTTCACCCTCATCTTGAGTCTCAGGCATCCCTGAGGACCCATCTTGAAGTTCGAGTTCTTACCAGGGTGCTCCCTCCTGGAGAGGACCTTACTCATGGTCCAGCCCAGTGTTCTCATCTAGTTGTCCCAGAGCCTATCAACATCTTGAGCTTTCCTCAGAGCTCAGCATGAGGGTGTCCTAGCTTCCCAGGGACAGACATACCCCTGGCACAGTCCAAGAGTCTCAGTCCTCTTCTTGGGTTGGAAGCCCCTCACACCTCAATGGTCCTGGCTTTCTCTAGGTCTGTCTAGCCCTGGGATCTAGCACTCCTTGATGACCTTTCCCAGGTGCCAGCCCTGACCCTCCTCTGACCCATCCTGGGGTCTGGCCCTGGGATCTAGCACTCCCTGGTGACCTTTCCCAGGTGCCAGCCCTGACCCCCAGACCCGACCCTCCTCTGACCTATCCTGGGGTCTGGCACCTTTGCAGTGACCACTCTTGGGGCTGGACTCTTCCGGCTGCCCCGTCCTGGAGTCCCGGCCCGCCGTGGGTCCTGCCGAGTCGGGGGTCCGGCTGGGCCGGGTCGCTGCCCTCCTGGGGTCCAGCTCTGCCCGGGTCCTGTCCAGCCCAGGGTCCTACGTGGCACTCGGTCCAACCTGTTCGGAAGTCCGGGTGCGGGCTCCCGCGCCCCCCGGACGCCCCGGACCCTGCCCGTTCCAGGTCCCGCCTGCTCGGGACTCGCGTCCCCCCGGGGTCCCGCCCGGCCCGGGTCCCGCGCGGGCCGGGCTCCCGTCCTCCCGGGCCCCGCGCGGGCGGGACGCTGGCTCCCGAGGTCCGGTCGTCCCGGGCCCGGGGTCCCGCCTCCCGGGCCTGCCGGGGCCCCGGCTCGCAGCCTCCCCGGACGCGGGCCGCGGCCTGAGGAGCGGGCGCGCGGGCCCAGGCCGGGCAGGGCGGGCTCACTGACCTGCGTCTCGGGCGGCGGGCGAGCGGGCGCACGCGGGGGCTCGCCGGGAAGGGGAGGGGGCGCCGCTCCCTCCGGGTCCCCCCCCAGAGGAGGAGAAAAAAGCCGTCCGGAGTTTAAAACAAAGAGGCGGAAATGCCCGAGCAGAGCCGAGCGCCGAATCGGGGGCGCCGCGCTAGGAGCATGCGCGGGTGAGGCTCGGCTCCCACCCCGCGGCCGGGCGGGGGGCGGAGTCTGGGGCGGGGCCTGGGCGGGGCCTGGGCGGGGCCCGCAGGGGGTGGGACCCGGGCGAGGCCGCAGGGCGCAGGCGTCGCGCGCTCGCGCTCGCGCCTCTCTCTCTCTCTCTCTCTCTCTCTCTCTCTCTCTCTCTCTCTCTCTCCTCTCTCTCTCTCTCTCTCTCTCTCTCTCTCTCTCTCTCTCTCTCTCTCTCTCTTTCTATCTCTTTTTCTTTCTCTTTCTCTCTCTCTGTCTCCCTCTCTCTTTCTCTTTTTCTCTCTCCTCCCTCCCTCCCTCTCCCCCCCATCGGGAGGGGGGCAGACCTCTGGGGGGCGGGGGCCACCGGGAGATGGGCGTGGTCAGAGGGGGCGGCGATAGGGTTGGCGTGAGCAAGCCGGAGCTCCTTCGGGGCGGGACCAGACGCGGGCGGGGGCGGGGGCCGGGCGGGAGCGGGGCGGGGGCCGGGCGGGGGCGGAGCGGGGCCGGGCGGGGGCGGAGCGGGGCCGGGCGGGGTCGGGGGCGGGGCCGGGCGGGGCGGGGCCAGGCGGGGCGGGGGGCGGGGCCGGGGCCAGGCGGGGCGGAGCGCGCCTCCGGGCGCCACTCGCCGCGGCGCTGGCCTACCCGCGCCCTCGGGTCCCGCGAGCACGGGGCTTCAGGACCCCGAGCTTCCTTCCGCGGAAGCCGCGTGCTCTGGAGCTCCTGACCTCTGTGGGAACGAGGCCGTGCGTCCGTCCGTCCCCCGGCTGGCAGACTCAGCCCGGGCCGGGAGTGGTGGCCGGCGGGCGCGCGTTCCCCTCTCGGTCCCGAAGGCCGGGGTGCGGGCCGTCCGCGGGTGCGCGCGGCGGGGGGGGACGGTCCGTCCCACCGGGGCTCGGGGATGAGCCCGGGGACAAACGCGCCCGGAGGCCCGCGGGGCCCGAGGGAGGGCGCTGGCGGGAGGGCCGGCTCCGCCTTCACTCCGGCGGACGTCCGCGGGTGGGCTGCAATCGAGCGGGAGGAGCCTGGGGAGCGGAACCGGCCCGAGGGCCCGACGGGGGCCCCGAGGAGCCACCCGGCACGCGGCGGGGTGGGGTGGGGGGGGAGGGGGAGGATGAGGGGGGGGGGGGAATGAGGGCGGGGGGAAGGGGGAGGGGGGGGAGGGGGGTGAGGGCGGGGGGGGGAGGGGGGAGGGGGGGGTGAGGGCGGGGGGAGGGGGCGGGGGGGGTGAGGGCGGGGGGAAGGGGTGGTGAGGGCGGGGGGAGGGGGGTGAGGGCGGGGGGGAGGGGGGTGAGGGGCGGGGGGGAGGGGGGTGAGGGCGGGGGGGGGGGAGGGGGGTGAGGGCGGGGGGAGGGGGGCATGCCGGCTGCTCGGGAGTAGAGGGCGAGGGGAGGCCAGCTGTGGCCGGGCCGAGCAGTCAGCAGTGAGACTCTGTCTCAAACACAAAGTAGAGGCAGGGTGATGACCAGCTCCGGTGAGCGTGCTCGCTCGGCTAGCTTGGTGCCCCGGGTCCCGTCGGGTCCCGTTGCGTCCCGTTGCCACGCGCGTGCACGCACACGTACTTCCAGCTGTTGATATACAGAAAGCACTGGAAGGGTTAAATCGCAGTGAGACTCGCCCTGTGCTCTAACAACAGGAGCAAGTCAGGACCAGAGACCGACAGCCAGCCAGCCAAGGACAGGAATCGCCCGGTGAGCTCGGGTAGCCATGGGTTTCAGCGGACTGGAGGAGTGCGGCATCCCTGGTAGCAGTTCCCAAGTAAAACGCTTCAGCTGACTCCCAAGGTGTGAACCCGGCGCGCATGCTGGAGGTCAGTGGGTCGCCGGCCCAGCCGCAGAGGCAGAGAAGGCAGGACACCCAGTGTGGCATTCGGGTCATCCGCAGATACTGCTTCACCGACAACTTACACCGAGTTACAACTTAGCCATAAACTGAAAAAGATACCAGTCGCTGTACTGTGGTTAATTTTTCTTTTTTGTACCCATCTTGGGGCTTGAACTTTGGGTGCTGTCCCTGAGCCTTTGTGCTCAAGGCTCAGCTCTACCACTTGAGCTACAGCTCCACTCTCAGCATTTTGGTAGCTAATTGGAGATAAGAGTCTCCTAGGCAGGGCTGGGACTGTGGCCTAGTGGTAGCATGCTTGCCTAGCACTGAAGCCCTGGGTTAGTACCACATACACAGAAAAACCAGGAAGTGGTGCTGTAGCCCAAGTGATAGAGCGCTAACCCTGAGCAAAAAGAAGCTGAGGGACAGTGCCTGGGCCCTGAGTTCAAGCCCCAGGACTGGCAAAAAAAAAAAAGTCTCATAGGCTTTTCTTCCCTGGGCTGGCATCGAATTATGATCCTCAGATCTCAGCCCCTTGAGTAGAATTACAGTTAGGAACACTGGAACCTGGCAATTTTTTTTTTTGGGGGGGGGGTCAGTTGTGGGGCTTGAACTCTGGACCTGAGCACTGTCCATGTGCTCTTCAGCTCAAGGCAAGCACTCTACCACTTGAGCCACAGAGCCACTTCCAGTTTTCTAGTGGTTTATTGGAGATAAGAGTCTCACGGACTTTCCTGCCCAGGCTGGCTTTGAACCATGATCCTCAGATCTCAGCCTCCTGAGTAGCTAGGATTACAGGTGTGAGCCACCAGCACCCGGCCTGGCTGTTTTTTTTGTTTTTGTTTTTTAAATCAAAACTCAGCAGTGGCCATGAGAAAGCCACACTAAGCCCAGTGAGTAGGTAGCATATCTCACGGCCATAACTTAGCGCCTACAGAGGCTATGTAAGTTTACACTTTCTTGGGAAAATACCCAGCTAACTGTAGGCAGTAAAAGTATAATGGCCAACCCTGAAAGAACAGAGAAAATCTGTGGGATTCAGGACTTGGGGAGGAAGAGAGGAAGCGCTCAGTGCTGCCCACGCAGTGGGAGAGGGATGGTGAGCACACCTGAAGGGGAAGCCGTGGTGTGACCACTTTGTCACTCCAGGAAGTGCAGACAGCCGCCTGCTTGGGTAGGGAGACAGCATCCTGAGGACAGGCACTCCTGATCGGAGTCACAGCTGGAATGCCCACAGTGAAGGTGTGGGAAGGCGCGAGAAGAATTCATAACCGTGTTCATGCCAAACGCTAGAGAGCACAAGTGGACAGCAGTAGAGATAAGGAGGTTGCAACAAAGCAAATCAGCAAGAAAACTCCACTGACAACTTTCTAAATTATAATTAACTGAATTGCAGAGAAATGGAAAAGGATAAAGTTTAATTGCTGGATCAGAGCAGGCAAAAATTAGCTAGGTGTTCTGAATACTGAGCAACCAGCAGAGCTTTATACACTACAAGTCTGACATTAAGCAAATAGACAATGTATATGAGAATGTATGATAGATAAATGTTTTATGTATTTCACATGCATTTTCAAGTATATAGGCCAAACATTTACCATAAAAAAAACTCAGCCAATTTGAAAGACTATACAAATGACATTTGCTGATTGCACATAAATTAGAATCCAACATGAACTTTTTTTTTTTTTTTTTGGGTCCGGTCATGGGGCCTGAACTCTGGGCCTGGGCGCTGTCCCTCAGCTCTTCAGCTCAAGGCTAGCACTCTACCACTTGAGCCACAGCGCCACTTCTGGCTTTTTTTCTTTCTGCTTATGTGGTGCTGAGGAATCGAACCCAGGGCCTCATGCATGCAAGGCAAGCACTCTACCACTGAGCCACCTTCCCAGCCCAACATGAACATTTTTTAAAGTTGTGTTTGGGACATTGAACATACTATTAAGTAACCTGTGAAATATGTATGGAATGCATGTGTAGAAAGCTACATAATTCTGATGAAATAAAAACTAATGGGGATATATTTTGTTCTTACATAAAAGTCTCAATATTGTCAGGTATCAATTCTTACCAACCTGTCTATGACTTCAAAGCAATTCCAAATAAAATTCCAGAAGATATTTTGTGGACATAGACAAACTGACTCTAAAGGCTATATGGAGAGAAAAAAAGGCCCATGGTAATCACCACAGCCCTGAAGAAAAGAACCAAGTCAGAGGACTGGCACTGCCCTGTTCAAGACTGTCCAGCCGCAGTGGTCAACACTGTTGGTGAGAGGCAGATCTGTGGAGGAGAACCAAGTCCAGAAGCAGATCCCAAATGAAAGAAGCCAATGTGAAAAGCTACACACTGATTCTAACTACAAGACATCCTGGAAAAGGCAACACTACAGAGACGATATCATTCCAGACCCCATCATCCCAGTTACATAGGTGAGTAAAAGTATCAGACCCTGCTCAAAAAATGACTAAAGCACAAGTGGTAGAACACCTGCCCAGTAAGCACAGCGCCCTAAGTTCAAACCCTAGTACCACCACCAGAGAAAAAGAAAAAAGAAGTGTAAGCACTCTTATAACTCAACAATGGAAAGATAAATACCTAATTAAAAATGAATAATTGGAATGGATACGTTTCCAAAGAAGATACTCAAATGGCCATGAAGCACATGAAAAGATGTTCAATAGGCTGGGCTCCAGTAGCTTATACCTGTAGTTCTAGCTTCTCATGAGGCTACTTTGAGATTCTTATCCTCATGCTTGTTACCCTAGCTGCCCAAGAGGCTGAGATCTGGGGCTTGCACTTCAAAGTCAGCTCAGGCAGGAAAGTCTGTGAGACTCTTATCAACAATTAACCACAAAAAGTCAGAAGTGGAGCTGTGGTTTAAGCCTTGAGAAGGAAGAAAGAGAGAAAAAAAAGATGCTTAACATCAGCCATCAGGGAAGTGCAAATCAAAATTCCCAGAATCACCTTCACACCTAGTAGGACAGCTGTAAGTAAAGACAGACAGAAATGTGTTGACAAGATGAAGAACAATAGGAGCTCATCCATAATTGAAGAAAAAGTAAAGTAGTGCAACTGTTTTGTAAAATAGCGCCCCAAAAGATTAAACATAAAGTTGACATCTGAGTCAGATCAAAGGGAAAAACAAAGACAAATGACACCTAAGAGGTTAGAGTTTCAG